CTAATTAACTAATTGATTCTCTTGACTAATCATCTTCTAGAAGTAAAAATAATCCCACTCCACTCCTAACTCACCTCCCGACCTTTACTTGCCCTAATACTCTCGAAGACTCTAACTCTTCAAACTTCAAATTCTTCTCATATTCTTCAACCTCCATAGTCCATACAACCTTTGACTATTAAGCTTCGACTCCACCTTTTCTCTTTAGTTTTTAACATTATCTCAAACTTAGATTTTAATCTTATCGAGTCACTGTGACGATTGTGAGTTCGACAGTGTTATTCGAATTTCTGATCTTCTTCGACTGCAGACTGTTGATGTTATGATACGTCTAGTTGACGAGTTTGTGGTTTCAGGTCAAAGTATCCAAAGTATTAGCATTAGAGATGAGTCTAGACCCCCCACTATTGTCAACATTGATGGTTGTACTCACTTGAAACTCTTGCTTTTGATGTCTGATAATATGACTGACACACAATTCCATCACCTTCTCTCAAAGCTGCCTTTGCTCGAGGAACTTTATCTTTTTCATTGTTATAAACTTGAAGAAATAAAGATTTCAAATCCTAAACTCAAGACACTAGTGGTTTCCCTTGAATGTCAAACCTCTCTCAAGATTCTAGAAATTGCAGCACCAAGTTTGAAAAGTTTCATCTTTACTTCTGGTGTTTTCGATCCAAATTCTTGTAAGATCAAGGTGGCAGACTGTTGTTGTAGTTTGGAAACCTTGGTGTTGTTTAAGTATTTTGCCGCGGAGGGAGCTATTCAGAATCTTATTTCAAAATTTCCATTGCTTGAGAATCTCTGGATCATTGGCTTTACGGAGTTGGAAAGGATGAGCGTTCAGAATCTTCGACTCAAGAGGCTGCATATTGCTGGATGCTTAAATTTGAAAGCAGTGGAGGTTTGTAGTCCAGATTTATTTGAGTTTCACTGTACAGGTCGTGAGTCACCCAAATTTTCAGTAGCTGACATGAAGGCATCTGGTGGCTTGAAGTTTGAGGATGAGACTAGCAGGATTTGGTTGAAAAGATTTAAGAGGATGCTAATAAATATTGTTGGAATAAAAGATGATGAGATTCTTGGGATGATTTATGTTGAATGAACTTCTATATTAAATTATCCGACTTATAATTTGTTTGTCATCATAAGAAACTTTAGAAATTTACGTATCAAGTTGTTGGGGTTTCTGTTTCCAGTTTATCAGGTTTTGAGGAGTTGTTATTCTGAACCACCTGTTATTATTATTAATATTATTTGATATTTAAATCTTATTTGTGTCTTCTTGTTGCATGTCTTGTTTACTGCTAGCAGTCATGAATCATGTTTCATCATGTCATATAACATTTTTTAGAATGTGCAATTTGTTTTGGACATGGAAATATTAGAAATTATTAGAAAGCATAGCTTCCATTGGTAACAAATTCAGAGATGCCTTTTTCTAGTTGAATGCAGAGATTGATTATTGACATCTCAAAAATGCACAAGTTCAACATTAAACTGCACACCACCAGGCAAAGAACATCTCCATTCATCAATGAAAGATGGGACCCCTTCCTAACCACCTTGAGCTCCATGAAGGTATCACAGCAAGCACTAAGCAGACCACAAAAAATATATAAAATCTCATAATAAATCTCAATAGGTGATGAAGAAGATGTTGAGGGACAAGCAAAGATAGTAAGGATTAAGTCCAGTACTAGATGGAAGCCACTAGGTGAACTATACTCGCACAAGGTAGATATTGGGCTTCTTCCAGATAAGGTAGACGGTGAAATGGGAAAGATTTCACTCTCGCTGCCATCCACTTATACCACCCTTTGGCAATCAATCTACTCCAAATAGACACAAACAAACTCTCTACATCTTCAAACATTGTAGCCTCACAATACACAGTTATTATTATTATTTTCCATTGAAATAGATAGAAATTAAAAACTGCATATTAAGAAGGACCTAAGATGGATAACGCAATTAAACCATTGCTCACCAAGGTAGGCCCCAAACCTTGGAATTCTAATCTGTCCATCCACAAATAAACTAGCCTCACGAAATAGCTAGCATGAATGAGAAATTCACCACAGATAGCATTGAGACAAGAGTAAGAGCCAACTAATTCCTTATGACTGAAAATTAGACTCCCATCAAACCAGGCATTCCAGGATTTCAAAGCTCTAACCATGGTGAATTGAAAAAACTTCAGCAGCTGTGATAGTTTTTTACCAGTTACTCCCAAAATTACAGAAGCATACATCAAGATGCAAACCATTATAACCAGCAGAAAGTAGCAAATGAACTAGTAGCTATTACAATCAGCTTCAACATACCTCAAACACATGGTCTAAAGGGCACAGGAAAGGTTGTCTGGTAATTGAACCCTCTAGAACTCCAGGATGTGGAAACCACAGCCTATCTAACTTGCACCATAGTGGAGGTATAACCTGAAATTCACAAAATAAGACCAGGTAACTCATTTGTAACTTAAGTCATTTAATGTGGAAATAACTATTGCTGGGTGTGTATATATCAATAGATTTTCTTTTTCTATTTTTATCCTGCCTAACAAGCATAACATGTTGCATGTAACTTGTAGGTTATGGGGTATAGCACGTCAAAAACATTAATATAACTAGTTAACCTAAAAGCAAATGCACACTAGCTGTTAGCATTTCTCATCAGCATATCTTAAATCGGTTGCATGCTTTTTTCCGTAATAGCTGATTTTGTTAATTACTAGCTTCACCTATTGTTGCAGTTGGCTCTCTCTGCGGCTTCCAGTTGCATTAACTTTTTCTTTGGCCTTGAAAATTATAAACCTGAAGATTTTCAATTGACATTTATTTATAGCTAATATTCCATATGGTACGGATCATTGGCGTTTGAAGACTTTTTGTGGGGAAAAAAAAAAAAAAAAAGAAAGGGCAAAAGAAAACAAGCAATTCTGCAGACATGGGTGCTATAGCAAAATTGATTATATTGATCTTCTATACCAATAATAACCTGAAATTTCAATTAAACAAAAAGTAACAGTTTAAATCTTCCCAAACTAACGAATAGTCTGACAGTTGTTATAGGTCTTCCAAACAGGATCATACTACAAGTTTTGATATATCAGGCAAGCAGGGTGGTTAATGTATGATTGCAAAAACTTGATAAAAGATGTGGCAATAGCACCTTCAGCTACTAACTAGCTACCTATCAAAATTCAAAATAGCACCTATTTTCAAGAAATTTATTCTTAAACTTCAAGAACACAAACTGTTATGTCAACCATGTCAAGCAACTGAAGTTTTCTTACCAGTGTGCGGTTCAACAATATGCAACAGCATGTGCTGACCTTATTTGTTTTTATCTGAACAGGATCATGAAAATTTTATGTTATGAGGATCAACACAGAGAATATAAATCAAGAGGGTGAACTAAAACCACAAGGTTAATATTACATATTCGATAATTAACAAGGGAGAAGTGTGATTCATGATTATATGCACCCCATCCAGTAATAAGCTCTTTAGAATGGAAGGTTTAAATGACAAGAAACCTCCTGCCGGTTTTCCATAAAAGGTTTACCAACTCTAAGTTCTAAATTCAGTTTGGCATGAGTTTTGTTGCTTAGAATGTTCAAAAAAAAGAAAGATGAAGTTCTACACATAACATGTAATTGAGTTTTAATTCCTTTGCATAAAAAGGAAATCTCCTGAAGGCTTCCAAAGGAAATTGATAGTTCCCAGAGAAAAGCACATTTCACATAAGGAATGTTTGAAAGAATAATAAAACAGTGACTGGTGCATCATAATATTCATGCGTGTCATAAAAAAACATTCCTTCTCTCAGTCTGTGATGCTTTCCTTCTGTACCTGCATACTGGAAAGTAGCATGCACAGCATATGGTTCCATCATCAGTTGGTGAGGCATGGCCCTACCAATAGAATCAGGCTCAGGACATACTTGATTTTATACACCGCTGTTATTAATAGCTAGGTAAATCTAGATGTTTAAAGTTTATATGCATAAACATGCTAAGTAAAATAAGAAACGAGATATCACACATCCATCCATGACAAAAAACATGATGAGAAATGCCCAAACCCAAACTAACTAACATGTGGATCCTACCTGGACAAAAAAGTTATGTCCCCTACAAAATATACTTGCTGGCAAAATTCCCAGTTTGAGATTTCCATCAAAAGCATATGCAAGTGCACTGTCCCCATCCACAGATAGTCCTAACTGCCTCCGTACAAGTTTAAATCCATTCTGATCCCACATCTTGTCATCAGCTAAAAGCATATCTTTCCATTCTTTTGCTATATAGATGATATTTAACATGTTCTGTAGTCTTCTGGCTAAAATAACTATGTCTTTCTATTGCATTGACTAGTAGAACCGAGCTCAAAATATCTATTTTTCAAAGCCTCAGCCAAGTCTGGGCTCACATGCAATCAATAGAAAAATCTACCATAGATGTTAATCAACATTTTAGAGATGTGAGGCTATCACAATCGCAATATGAAAAGAACAAAAGATACAACTTATTTCGTGTAATTTTACCTTGTTGCCAGATACACAATCTGTCATCTGTGACAGTTGGCGAAACTTGATCACTTGAAGTTAGGACATCTGCATCAGGGCATTGAGCAAGATATGGAAGTGGGTTCTGTTATAAGGAACATAGCAGACAAAAAATAAAAACAACTTTCACAAGAATTTCTTATTAAGTTACCATAGGATAAGTATATGGAGTAGTGGCAGCAGAATATGAAAATATCAGACAAATAAATGGAAATAAAAAAAAAAAAAAGAAAAAAAAGCACAAAAGATAGAATATCTTAGTAAAAAAAAAAAACCTGGTTGATAGAAAAACAATGGAATCATCTATAAAATAAAAGAAGATAAATTTTTCTGAAACGCTAAGATGAATGAAGGAAAGACAAACCACATGAAAATTAGAATACCATAGATTACTAATAAATGCAATTCATACCGTGCTTAATAGCAATTACCACCTGCCATTGAATTTTTAATACTGATAAAATGTAGAAAGCCACAATTTTAACAAATACAATAAAATGGTAACAAAAGAACTTGTTTATTCAGAAAAAAGTTATAAGACGGGCATGCAAATCCCACAACACCGTGATAGATGAAATATTGGACCCAGCATGAGAAAACCAGGTGGCAGAAATAGAGTGATACCTTCAACCACACCATGTCTGTATCACACATCAGGATCTCATAGCCATACGGAAGGAGAGAATCTATGAGAATAGCTTTTTCTCTACCCATTTATGAAATGTAGGGTATCCCCAGCCAACATCGGCTGTGCTCAAGTGGCTGCACATATCAAGAACTTGAATTCCTTTCCAATACAAGGCAGTCACAAGTTTGGCGTCCATGGCACCTAAAACAACAGGCTTGGTTTAGTTTCAATGTTTCAAATAATGGTAAGTCCAAAACCTAGAAGTCTAAAAAACTTACCAACTAAAAGGTTAGAAATGCCAATAGCAGTCAAATGTTTAACCCAAGTGAGGATGAAATCCATAAAGGCAAAGTTACCAAAGGTGCCGATGGATGGTCGAGAAGATTGTCGCGGCGATCGAGATCGAGAGATACATATATCTCAAAGAAACACAACGAAGGAGGAAAATTGAAACAAAGGCTGGTTCTCAAACCCAAGATTAAAGTAAAAATCCCAAAAAAGGAAAAAGAAAAAAAAGGCCAGAATATTGTTTAAACAAATTTATTTTAATTGGCAACATCATAGCTTCAACTTCTACCCTCGTAGAGTTTTAGATATATAAAAGTAGCTTGCTAATTGCCACCAAATCATCTAACTTTGCAGTTTCTACAAGAAAATAGAGGAACAAAAGTTGCAGAACCGAGAAATAAATAAAAAATGAGTTAATAAGGTTTCCTCCCTTTTTTATTTCGGTCGTACTGAGTCCCAAACTGCCATTATTCACGGCCGGTCGCGACTAGATGCAATTATAGCGACTAAAAAGGGTTGGGCGTCTGACTAATCGAAGAAGACGGAGCATATCAACAAAAATAGACCGCATCGGAGTTGAATCGGTGCGGTGACCTCTCGAATCCCTACTAATCGCAAATGGACGGCGGCCCAGACGCGAATTCTGTAACACTGGTTACCATCTTTCAAAGAAACACAACAAAGAGGAAAATTGAAAGTAAGACTCTTTCTCATACCCAAGATTCATAATGGCTCTGTTAAAATCTGCAAAGGATTTCAACGAACATGTGGTGGAGGGAATTTATGGCAAACTCAGGGACTTAGCCATGGCAGATCTTGATCCTCCTGTCCCGCCTGTCTTCCTGCAGCTCTTCCAATCGCTCCAGCTGAGGTTCTAGCCGAACCAGAGTTTCCAGCGGCTCCAAAAGTCCCAGCTGAGGTTCCAGCCGCGCCAGAAGAGAGGAGGCTAATGCTCTTCTGGCGCGGCTGGAACCTCAGCTGGGACTTCTGGAGCGGCTGGAACCTCAGCTGGGACTTCTGGAGCGGCTGGAACCTCTGGTTCGGCTATAACCTCAGCTGGAGCGATTGGAAGAGCTGCAGTGAGGACAGGCGGACAGAGGATCAAGATCTGCCATGGCTAAGTGCCTGAGTTTGCCATAAATTCCCTCCACCACATGGTTGTTGAAATCCTTTGCAGATTTTAACAGAGCCATTATGAATCTGTTCTTCAGTATCTGTTCTTCAGTTCTTGTGGCAAATGCTGAGATGCCTTCTCTATATTTATAGAAGAATTCATAAACCCAAAACCTCTACACTTTTTCATCTCAACGGTTTAAATTTCATAAAATGATCTCGACCCTTCGTCCTTCAGCCTCATAACTCACCTCTGCAAAAGAAGGGCGACGCGGCTGAAATTCTTGCTCCCTTGGCAGTATTTGATCGCCAATAAAAAGCCTCCACGTCAGCCATTTAATGATACCTTGTCTACAAGTCTCTCCGAGGACCACTACAGACAGTGACACGTGGATAATCGACGGCAATTCTTCCGACGGCATGGACTCAACGGACAACTTTAACTGGGAAGAATGGGATTCTTTTTTCCCCTTTTTGGAAAATAAATAGCTCCCCAACAGTTGGGATATTTTTTGAGTGGTTATACATTTTATTTTTGGTCTTTGATCTTTAGTTATTTATTTGGGAAGAGGAGAAATTAGACTAGACACTTTTAACATTAAAATTACTACCATATTTAATGATAA